TGCATTGCAGAAAAAGTGTGAAGACAGAAATTTTAGCGTACCTGCGGTTAAGTCTATGTTGGGTTCGGTTTAAACGCGAAAATTCCATTTTTTTTCTTAGTGCTCACTTCACTAAACATCTACAGAATAGACGAAGGCGTATCGTTTCCAAACCATTTGAAAAACTGAGAAATTACCTTCAAAAACACATTTTCAGGAGTAAAGTACGAGTGAAAAGTATTGTGAAAAAAAGCAGATAAGCGTTTTTTGTGAACACAGCTGACATCTGACACAGCTGAACTAGAGCGACCGTTTTTACTTGTGACTGTGTATATGGGCAAAAAACTTTGCAAGCCGAGAATTACTTTGTGGGACAAAAAGTTCAAGTGGATCTATTATTTTGGCCAGCCTTGAAACCTGCTTTTTCCAAAATTTTTAATTTCTTCCTGAACAATGGAACGGAAGCGGGATTTGTTTTGGCTACTAGCGGTAGCCTATGAAATACACAGCTATACCGAATTCCAGACTATTTCGTTGGAAAGCAGATGAGCTACGGCAATTTTCAGGGTGGATCTGTAATTTTGGCCAGCACTGTATAGCAAATGCATCTTCAGGAACTTTTTAAAACAAATTGTGTATAATGTCGTTTTCCATATCATGTATGATCAATAAATTTTCCATGTATCTCTATGGAACAAGTTGATTGTTATATGTAGCATTAATAATTGGGTATAGTACTCGAACAAGGAAACGTGAGATCTGCTAGGAGAGGGCTAAATTTACCTCCTCTGGGATACTCCTACTTTTTGTTTTAGTATGTATGTAATATCTGCTCCAAGACGAAGGCGGTCTCCCTTTAAGGTTGACAACATGGAAGACCGACGCGCACGCGGCGCGCGAGCAATATTCATCCATGGGGTGTGCGCGTATGATCGCTGACCTAGCGTGCACGCCTCCCATGGTTGAAAACTGCCGCGCGCCGCGTACGCGCCGGTCTTTCATGCTTTCAATTTATCTGGGCGACCGCCTTCGTCCTGTGGCAGCTCTTACTCTGTGAAAGAGTCTGAGTCTTTTGTTGTTTTCTAGGTGGAAGCTGAACGTTGGATTGTTGATCTCATTCGAAACTATCGAATCGAAGGAGCTAAGATCGACAGCAAACTAGGACAGGTCGTTATGGGAGTCAAAGCTGTTAGCATCCACGAGCAGGTGATCATTAGTCAATTTCCGAGAAGTCTATAATAACCTCAGCTTTATCGTTGAAGGTTATGGAGAACACGAAGCGACTCACGCTTCGAGCTCAACAGATTGCGCTACAACTGGAAAAAGCTAGAACTGAACGAAAATTGACCGTGTAATTTGTTTTGTTGTTGTCTGTTGTTAGAGAGACCTAATCTTTTTTTGTTTTTTTTTCTTGGTGAACTCGGTCAGATGTTGGTGTGTTATGCTATGTGTTGGCTGTTACCTACCATTTTAGAATTAGTATTTATGGGGA